TTAGGAAAATAAATGTTGTTGTCAAAGACATTCTGCATCCATAGACATAATCTTGGTTTTGGATATACATACACATATAAATATATATATATATATTTATATATGTGTATATATATATATATTTTAACATTATGTCATTTTCCTAATGTTGAACTATCCTTCTATTCCTGGTACAAATCCCTCGGTCATAATAATTTCTTGGATACATCATTACAGTCTGAAAGGATTTTAAAATTTTTGAATTTTAACTACTTACATGGATTTGTTGTTTATGGTTCATCATGATGTAGTTTCCTTGTTTATTCTTTTTTTATTTTTTGAATGCTTTGCTTTGTCAGATAACATGATTGCAACTCATTTTTTCAGATTAACTTGATGCCTAGAAAATTTTTTTCATTGTTTTGTGTATGCCTTTGTTTTTTAAACATGTTTCTTATAAGCAACAAATTGCAGGGTTTTGTTTCCATATCAATCTTTTTTCAATATATTGGATTGGTTAACCTATTCATATCTAAAGTTATGAGTTAAATTTATGCATTTTTCTTAAAGGTATGATTTCCTGCCCCACCCCCACCCCCTTCTGCTATAAATACTGCTATAAATACTGCTATGTCTCATCAGTTATTTTAGCACAATCTTTTTTAAGGTGGCCCTATTCCCACTGGAATTCCCATGTTTATTTTCCTTCACCCCTCATCCTTCCCTCTCACATTATGTTCCCTTTGGACTTTTGCTTATTAATTTCTTTTTCTTTGCCTTTATCTGGATTCTTCCTCTTCTCAATCAAGTAAATTCCCCTTTCTTTTCCTGCCCTTCTAGTTCTGTTCATTAGGTTTTTTTTTAAGTTTTCATTGGTATTTTGTTTCTTATATCACCCTAGCATTTCATGTATCCTTATCCCTATCTCTTCCCCTCCCAGAGAGTCATCCCATAAGACAAAAAGTATTTTTTGGAGAGGAAAAACTAAGTCAGCACAACTGACAGATCCACTGAAAAAGTCTGAAAACGTGTGCAATGCGTAACTCCTGTGGACCTCCTACCTCCACAAAGACATAGGTCAGGGGTACCTTCTTGTGTCCCTTTAAGTTCATTACTTTTTAAAATGTTATTCTCCAAGCCCCTTTCCTGACAGGATCTCTTTTACTCTCTTCATCATCCATCCTGCTACAGACCTTCATTCCCCTTATATTGTCTCCCCTCTCTATTCCCTGTATTCCTCTTGTATTCATAACTTAGAAGGTCTCTCTCCTCTAGGCAGTTTTTGCCACTATAATGTAGACTGTCCCACAGATTCCCCTTTCCCATTGTGTCTCACTTCCAGAAAAATTTCTGATTCCCACAGGTGAGAGAGGATACTGCCCCGGGGAAGAGCCTCCCCACCACATCCTAGATAATGTAGTCCACCACTACATACATATTTGCCCCTGGTTACCTTCTTTCTCCATCTGCCTCACAAAAATCTCTTCCCCGAGTCCATCCGTGCCTTCCCTCTCCCCCAGGTGCCAGGTGCCCCTGGAGTTCTAATTTCCTCTCTCCAGAGGCAAGAACATGTTTTTTTTCAAACACCAAATTTCCCAGACAACACCCAGCACCAAGTTTCCTATCTCCCTTCATAGAATTTCTTTCCCGATATGAGCATTCATGAGTGGACTCCCCTCTCACCACCAAAACAAGACATCCTTCTTTCACCACCCTCTCCCCCCTTCACTCCTTCCTTTGAAACTTCTCTTCCTCTGGAGACCACAGGGGTCACCTTCCCTTCACTGCCAACCCTCAATTTGACTCAAGCACATCACACTTTTCTTTTCTCTACGTTCCCCTTCCCCTTTCCATGCACCCTCCCATTTTTTTTTAACATTTTACAGAAAAAAAGATGATCCACCTGTAGGCAGGGTGACCAGGTTCTGTCCATATCGCTCCAAGGCTGTCTCTCCACTGTCACCTCCATCTGACTTCTGCCTTCACTGTCTCCTTCCGTATATTTAAGAAATCAGTCTCTTACAGATCTCTGTTGTCACTCCGTTGCTTTTGCCATCCCTGGCTGCTGAATTTGTTCATCACTCTGGCATTTGTTGTCTTGGGGTGTTCCAGAAGTAAATCATCTCTTCCAGTTGGTTTTTTTTCACCCCTAAGAATGTTTCCAGTGCTTCTTCATTACTAAATGTCCATCTTTTTTGATTGATGGTTTAGCTCAATTCTGTAGGGTAGGTAGCCCTGGGTGGCTTTCTGAGCTCCGATGTTCTTCGGAAGACATCATTCCATTCCCTCCTGCACTTTTTGGAGGTTTTCCCAAATTACAATAGTATTGAAGCATTTCCGCAGTTCTTAAAGACCTATATAAATGCCAGCTATGACTATTATTTCTTCTCCTTCATAGTTAGGAAGCTTCAAAAGCACTAACTGAATTTGTGGAAGCATTATTAGCAGTAAGAACCTGGATAACAAGGCAAACTTATTTGGATATTTGCTAATCATATAGGAATAAGTATTACTAAGGATGGCTAAGGCTTCTTCAACTTCTAGAATCTTATGATTCAGTGAAATAGAAGGAAGATGAACACAGGCCAGCATATCCAAGAAGAATTTAGCTTTATATTAAAGTAGGCTTGTTTTAAGCGTGGAAAACTATGAGATTCTCAGAAATTTTGTCAGAGGACAGAAAATGCTAACATTCTAACAAAATGGCCTTGCCAGAAACTTTAAAGTTTAAATAAAGGCACATGTTTTCAAACTGGAGTGAAACAATTCAATCAGTTTACATCAAAGGTGTCAAATATGCAGGCCATACAACACTGCCAACCAGGCCATGAATCAGATTAAAATGTAATTTAGAAATAGTTGACAAAATAAATACAATAAAACATAGATAATGTTATATTTAAAATCTAAGTCAATATGTAGCCCCTACAGATCTTCTGTACAAATCAGTGGCCCAATTCTATTTGAGTTTGATACATCTGGCTTACATTTCCCCCAGAGCTAAATTTATGATTAGAGAACATCCAAAATGTTATATATGTTTAAAAACAGTCATTCAGACTCAAACATTCCTCTATAAAAGTTAACATTTTTGTGGTAAGTTAGCCTCTCTCAAAAGACCTTGCCAGAGAAATGTAGTTTATAAAGAATTCATTTTGACAATGTAATAGTGGGACAAACTGGGTAGATACATGAATATTCCTTCCTAATATTGATCTGTATAAAAACCACAAAACTGGTCATTTTCCTAGCATAGGATCTTCAAAAAATAATCCACAAGGGACATTTCACCATCCCTTTAGAGCACCTGTCCGTCTGAACGTGCTTGAAAATAAAAGTTCTCTCATTTATTTGTATTTATCCAACAAACACAGTGTGCTCCAGGGAAAGAAAAAAGAATGGCTGCAATTTTCTACTGGTTTCTTAAATCCATCTTGGGAGAACATTGGCTCAATTAAAAAACAAAGCAAAACAAAACAGGCAAGGAAACACATTTGTCCATAATATTTTAATACTTTTTCCACTTTTAAATACTGGTTTTAATTTTTGATTGTAACATGGAAGATTCAATTTTTCTTTTAATATCAGGATCATAAAGCTATCATAGAACAGTTACACTCTACACACTCTCAAGGTACTTGAAAATGATTTATGTTTTTGAGACTGTAGATGAACAATGACAATAATCCTAATACATCTTGATCTGTACAACTGTGACAAAATATCAGTGAGAGATTTTTAACTGAATAAACTGATTTAGCTTAAGGAGAACCCATATAGCTTCCAGGAGAACCAGCTCAGCCCAATGGAATAAAGTTGACAAAATAATTATTTCCAAATAATGAAATTTTCCTCAAAAGCAACTGATGCTGATGTATAGGCATACAAATTAGTTGATGGGAACTGACAAAATGGGAAAAGCCACTCCTCCTTCTCATTACTTTGATATGCACATGCGCACACCCACACGCACACGCACGCACACACGCACACCCACAGGCACAGACACAGAGCTCCTCTGTCTGGCTGTCTCTGTTTATCAATCCTAAACAAAGTCCTGCATAGTCGCCTACCCTCTTAAAATTTAAAGTCCCAAGTCCAAGGTGAAATATGGCACCCTCCCGTTCTGGACATTGGCTGTGCTGTATAGGGAGAAAGCTCCTGATTCACCAATATTTTGCACATTTTAGAATGCTGCAGTATCTCTACCACAGCACAAAGTGGTGTTAGAGGAGAGGTGGACGGAGGGGAGAGTAGGAGGATACAAATTTAAAAGTTAATATCTTAGGCATGAGAAGTAAAAATGATCTGGGGAAAAGAGCATCATTGATACTCAGTATGTGGGAATTAGCCTTATGAAAATAATTCTACAGGTTCTGAATATTTACTAAAAAGATCAGTACTTCTTCCGAATTTCGAACTCTTTCCATATTCCCTAAGTCTCATCTAACTCTGATTGGGTAGGGTTAGCACTAGTGAAGTACTAGTGCACTCACTGAAAAGTTACTTATTTATTTAACAAATAGCATCTTTAGTGTAATCATTTTATTTACAGAATAAATTGCAAAAGTACATCACATTTAGTGCAAATGCAACTGATGAATTAAGATTTATATACTGCTTTTGTAAACTTTCCGTATCTTTGTAAAATAAAGCTATCCAATTAAATTACTAAACAGTTATTTGACTGTGTTCATGATAGTTATCAGAAATGGAATATTTATAACTGGGCATAAAGAATTGTTTCCAAGTTCCCATCAGTGGCTATGGTGAATGAAACTTTTTTCCTCCCTCCCCCAACCTGATTGTAAAAGAAGATAGATATTTGAGGTATAAATTTTTCTCTTTGTAACATCACTATATAAAATGTTCACTGGTGATGTAAACAGATATTATCATTTTTGTCTCATTTGCCTTACTAGTATTACCACCATATAGGCACTTTTCCACATATTCAAATCGTGAACAGCATGTTTCTGTAATAAGGCATATTCCATGCAAATAATTTTGAGAAAGGCAAATTAAAAAATAGAAAAATTTTATGGAGCATGAAATCTGCGTGCATGTAACGTAAGCACGTGTTTATATAAGCATTTTCTCTCTTTGTACAGAATAATAAATACTATTATATCTGATGCAAGTAATTCTCTTCCAGGATTGTGGAGATTTAAGTAATCAGCCTCATCCCGTCATTAAATCATCTTGCATTTAACATCAAGATCTCATTATCATGTATGAAATATATACAGGACATGTTTCATACTACATGACTTTACAAAAAAGTATCAGACTTCTATTTCTACTGAGATGCATAAGTCAGCAAACACCCACGAAACGCTTCTGCGTTCTCTCTCAAAGACATCACCACTAGGACGATTCTGAAGTCGGCAGTCATTTCTACTTCTTTAAGTACCATTTTCTGCCTCAACTCCGAGCTTTAAAGTTGTTTACAGTCATCTAAAAAGTTATTTTACATTTACATTTTCACAGTAACTAAGGGGAACTCTGCAATTAAAATTGAGCAGAATCCTGTACTGTTCAATGAAGGTTCTGACCAAGAGGCATTAATAACATAACTCACATTTTCTATGCAAACTTCACAACACAGTTTTGAGACCAGAATCAGAAGGACCAGTAAACATGCCTGTTTTTAAGTACTGGGAATGTTGTCAAATGTCAAACTTGTAAAGTCTGATCTACTTTAATAAGTATTATAGTGCATCCTTTTGCAATTTCAAGAAAACATGAGCTCAGTAACCTTAATCATCTTGCCAGAAAACAGTTCTATCTATACCCAATGAGGGAGAACAGATACTGCTGCTGTTTTCAGGCAGGCAGTCTCTTATAGGTCATAACAGAACCATTCTAGAAATTGCCAAATTGTGTTCATAAAAACAAACCAAAAAAACTATAGCACATAGTACACAACTGAAAAATACAATAGAAATATAAAGATATCTGAGAAAAAAATAAAGCTTTTCACACTTCCTCCATCAGAACCAAAGTTCATCATGAGAGTAAGATAATAGAAAAGGCAAAGTCATTGGTTATTGACAGCCCTCAGTTATTGAGACATTTTACATGACAAGATGATTCATTATCGAAATCAGCAGCAATGGACTCTATGATTATACAAAGCAAAATCAGAAAAACCTGGCCACTCAGAATTGACTGCAGGCCTGAAAAAAAGAACCATACCCTCTATGTTTGGTGCACAGAAAGCACACATGTCCTTACCGTATGTGTCTGCATTATGTGCTTTAAAATTTGCACACAAAAATCCAACACATATGTGAGGCTCTTAAGCAGGGCCATAGTAAAATTAAAAGCTTTGCAAAAATTTCCCCAAATTAAAGCATTAATCCCCAGTTTGTGATTCAAAGTCCTCCCTCCCCCAAAGCAAGCAAATAAAAATATAGCCATATACATGTATTATTACATGTATTTATAGTTACACACCAAGCAAGGAGAGCTAGCAGGAGAGAGCTAGTGTCAGATGTTCAGCGTCACTGTATTGCAGGGTTTCTTCACTTCAGTGCACAAAGCCACGGTCATGGGCCACAGAAAGGACTGTAGATCCTACGTTCCAACTTAGAGCATTCATTTTGGTTAATTCCTCCAACACGGAATGTTCACACAGCCTTGCTTTAATCACTGCAAAAGGAGTTTGAACATAAGCAACATATTAATGACTGACATATTAACAGGAAATCTTCAGATGACCACTTGAATGCGGTGTTCCTAACTACTGAATTCATTAATAACTCTGCTGTGCTACTGAAACTGCTGGGACCCCAGAATTATAACTGCAGAGCTGGAAGGGACCTTACAGGAAATTTAATCATCTTACAGATAGGAGGAAAATACTCAAGAAACTAAATTGGACAAAGCAGAAGAGACAAAGGGGAAGGTCTATGGGCCAGAAATAGAAATGGACTTTTGGATTATTCAATAGATAAACAAGTAGAAATATTACCAACAAGAAATATATCGCCAAGGCTGAGCAAAAATCATTCCAAAGCACAGCACTTTTCAAAATGTTTCAAAATTGATGCTTAGAGGGAACAAAATCTTATTAAAGGTTGGCTATATCTGAAAATGACAAATGTTGTTATGAACCACTTTAACATTTCTAGTCCACTGGTATCCTAGACAATTCAGATAATCTGAGATGTCAAAAATATCTTAACACTTATCAGTGTCTGGCAATAAGCTTCATTTTATTAAAAAAAAAAATCCAGGACAAAAAAAAACCAAGGAGATTCAAACCTAATCACTGTTATCCCTGTAATTTTAGCTCAATTGATCAACTCAACTCCATAAATTCTCTAACACTTATAAAGGCTAGGAATGGTAAGATTTCTAGCAAATGACTTGTTTTAAAATACTTTTTGTATTAATGGCTGAATTTATTTTTTTACACTTACAAAGAGAAACCACTAACCACACACAGAAATATGAATACCTTTTAACACTAGAACAAAATAGGTTTCCCTGCAGTTTTTTCTTGGACATAGGACGTGAAACGCTTTAGAAACTTGGGATACTCTCGTTTTGCCACTGCCCTTAACACTGAGGCTGGTGCCCATCCTCCAGGGTTCACTAAATCAGACAAAGAAAGGGGAAAAAAAAACATTAAAGTCCATACCTAAGATTATTCTCCAATGCATGAGGCTGGCATCAACATTTATATAACCAAGCTTTCAAAATTCTTATGTTGACATTATTCTTTCAATCTAGTCAAGACTTCCTAAGTCTAGGCTCATTAATTCTTTTACAAAGAGCTCAAAATTACAAGATCAATAGTCACACATTACCATTTTAAATACCAATAATGGGCTATTCTATACTTCATAAATATGGACTAACACTTATCTGGAAGTCATTTAGGCTGTAACCCCAACTAGAAAGAACAAGCTTTAGTGTATCGAAAATATGACTTACTGTACAAAAGTATCATTTATGCCTGTAACTTCTTAGGAATTATGGTTTCTGGTGGCAATGGTACTGGACAAGGAATCAAGGGAGATGGGTTTTAGTCCTAGCTCTGCTACTTGCTGAACGTTCCTGGCCAATTCACTGACCTTCTCTGGACTTCACTATGCTCTTCTGTAAAATGAGGGAATTGAATGAGATGATCTGGGGTCTTACACAGTTTTGTAAGATTCTATGAATTTACCTATTGTGTAAAGCAAGATGACTTAGCCCTAGCTCACTGAAAGTAGTTACTTGCCTTCCCCTTCCTGGCTCTAAGAACTATGAATAAATGTACTGTGCAAAACACAGACATACAACAAATATTTAGAGACAGCAAGAGTATCATCAAGGCAAGCTCTTTGGAGACAGTAAAAACAAGGCAGATTTTTTCCTCCTAATCTTACTTACTTACAAGTGCTACTCTCACTCTCACACTCACAGACATGAGAACACAGAAAAGTAACTCACATATTCATAAAGTGACTAGATACTAAAGAAGAAAGTAGTCCACATGTGATTGGTTCCTGGATTATAATTTTAGTTACTATTAAATGATATTTGCTAATTTAGAATAATCATACCAACTGTATAGTATCAGAAATAACTGCCTCTTAAAAATTAACAATAATGAGCACAAGTAGTTTACTGCCCTCAAGTTTGGGTCTTAAAACCAGATTGAGAAAAGCAGCTGCCAAACAACTAGGCAAAATCATATTGGCACAGAATAGTTATTTTCATTTCCCCTTATCCAAATTTAGCACCTGTACTGACATTCTTCTTACTTCTCATATGGGCAAAAAGCTAGCTTTAAACTTCTAATCATGTGGTTATGATAAAACATTGGCAACTATATTTTTACAAGTTGTATGCATATAATATTTGGGTGGCACATGAATATCAACAGGAAACCTATTATTTTCCCCCCTTTTTAAAAATGTTTAATTAATTTATTTTTAGTTTTCAACATTCACCTCCATAAGCTTCTGAGTTCCCAATTTTCTTCCCCTTCCTTCCCACCTCCCTCCCCAAGACGGCATGCAATCTGATATAGGCTATACATACACATTCCTATTAAATATATTTTCAAACTAGTCATGCTGTAAAGAAGAATTAGAACCAACAGAAGAACCGCATGAAAGAAGGAACAAAACAAACAAACAAACAAACAAAAAACAGAAGAAAAAAAAGCAAATAGTATGCTTTGATCTGCATCCACACTCCACAGTTCCTTCTCTGGATGTGAATAGCACTTTCCACCATGAGTTCCTTGGAGGTATCTTAGATCCTTGAATTGCTGAGAAGAGCTAAGTCCATCAAAGTTAGTCATTGCATGTGGCTGTTACTGTGTACAACATTCTCCTGGTTCTGCTCACTTCAATCAGCATCAGTCTATATGAGTCTTTCCAAGTTTTTCTGAAGTCTGCCTGCTCATCATTTCTTATAGCACAATAGTATTCCATTATATTCATATACCACAACTTGTTGAGCCATTTCCCAATTGATGGGCATCCCCTTAATTTCCAATTCTTTGCCATCACAGAAAGAGCTGCTATAAATATTTTTGTACATGTGGGTCCTTTTCCCATTTGTATGATCTCTTTGAGATTGCTGGGTCAAAGGGTATGCACATTTTTATAGCCCTTTGTGCATAGTTAGGAAAACTACTGTTGTTAGAACTTTAATGGATAACTTTACATATGTGTAATTAAGGTGAATACCTGCTCTCATGCTATATTTAGGTGCTTGGCACTGTTGTGATGATGATGATGAAGATAATAATAATAACAACAAGCATCTGTATAGTGATTTAAAGTTTGCAAAGCACTTTAGTATTTCATTTTATTCTCACAACTGCCCTGGAAGTAGGTACTATTATTATCCTCATTTTACAGATCAGGAAACTGAGGGAGACAGAGGTTAAGTGACTTGCCCAGGGTCACACAGGCAGTATGCTTCTGAAGCAGGATATGTATTCAGGTTTTCCTCACTCCAGGTCCACTGCTCTCTCTATTGCTCCACTAAAAGCATAAAAAATATTGAACTGGAGATAAAAAGGATCCTAGATGGTATCAAATCCAATTCCTGTATTTTTTATTCTCTGGTTTTTAACATAGGAGATATTTTTTACCACTGAGGAAACTGAGACTCAGAGGGGGGAAAAATTAATTTCCCATGTCTCAGGTAGTAAATAGCAGCACTAGAATGTGAACCTTAGTTTTGTGACTCTAAATCCAGCATCCTTCCCATTTTAGAGTCGGCTCTTAAAGAGTAGGTTGGAGTGAGATTCTGGCACACTCTGAAAGATAGGCAATGACGTTTACACTTTTTTCTACAGGCAATAGAGACTGTATAAGATTGACAAGATGAAAACATGAAAACTTGGCTGTGCTGCACTGGAAGAACTGGATGCGGAAAGACTGTAGCACAAAATAGTCAGGATCTGAAGAAGCAATAACAGAAATGGGCAAGGAAGGGACTGATGAGATATTTAGAAGGAAAAAGTGACAGGACTTGGTGATTAATGCTTGAGGGGGGAGGGCAAAGATAAAGAGGATTCAAAAGATGACTCCCTGATTATTGGAAGAAAGGTGGCACTACTAACAGAAACAGAGAAGTCAAGAGATAAGTTTTGTTTTAGAAATATCGGTTTGTGTGATGACAAATACCCAGTGGAAAAAGTCAGCCGGTTGCTAGAAACATAGGACTGTAACTCAAGGGAATGCACAGGACGGGGTCAAGGGGCAAGCAACTTGAAGGTAGGTATCTGTGGGGGCAGGTGAGTGTTGAGGGAATGCTACAAGAGGCAAAAAAAAAAGAGATATAAGATGATAGTGGGGATAGAAGGATCAAGTGAGGGTTTTGTGAAGATGGACGAGACATGTTTGCAGGCAATAGGGAAGGAACCAATAGACAAGGTGCAAGTGAAAGTAAGTGACAGAGGGGCAATCTGTTGAAGGAGACAAGATGAAATGGGATTGCTTAAGCAGGTAAAGGGGTTAGATTGAGACATAAAGGAGATTGCTAGAGGTTAAGGAGAGAGCAAGCTGAGGCAACATATAAAGACTACTTGTTAGCAAAAACGAGGAGAGCAACAGCATGCTGTATGGGGAAAGTGGGTCAAATGAAAGTGTTTAAGAAATAGCAAAGCTGACGATATTTGTAGGCAGAGAAGGGGCTAGTGGAGTGGAAGATATTCATAGTGGAGTGGAAGATATTCAAAGTGCTAAAGAGGAAGGATAAGGAAGAAATGGAACGAAGAATACAGGTGAAAGGGTTAAACTAGGTTAAAAAAATATTTTTCTTGAGGCAGGAAGAATGAAAAGCAGGGATAAAGTAAACTCATCAAAAGCACAACTTTTAAAAATTAACATTATCTGATAGGAAGAGAGGGTTATGGGAGTTGGGGTGGAACTGAAACATGGAGAGTAGAAATGGGGTTTAATAATGTTTAATAATGCTTACATTATGTTAGGAAACTTGTGAAGAATTAAACAAATTGTCCGTCAAGCTATCAACAACTGAAATGAGAATATTAATGTGTGGAAGGCTGACAGACTGAAAAACATACTGCAAAATAAAAGGTCCAACAATAATTCTAAATGTATTACATAGTGAAGGGGTCATTTATTTACACCTTTAACATATTTGTCCCTTTCATCCTCTAGTTACTACAAATGCATTATTCAAGCTATAAAGATTAGCAATACTAAAAATTCACATACCATTAGCTACATATGTGATCTTGCATAGAATATTGTCTCTGCTTATTTCCTGGTTTCCCTCTGGTGGGCTTACCAAAGTTTGACATATCAAAGCAATATTTATTTTGGCACGGACACATCGATTGTTTACCTGCAAAAATCCCAAACCAATAGTTTAGTAAATAAAAAATGTTTAATAAAAACCACCATTTAACTATCCTAACATGTCAGATGAGTAAATGTCCACTTTTCTTCTGATTTTCTCTTAAAACATTTAAATCAATCTGACAAAGCAGTTTTGTAAACACAGGGAGCACGTGTAGAAAAACACTATCTCAAATAACGCATGCAAAGCAGAAGTAAATTCTGGAATAGTCATCCTGGAAGAAAGAGGAGTGGCTTTAAGAACCACTGATGCAATTGTGATTACCATGCAGCTCATTATTAACTACTCCCAAAAGACATGGTAAGAAGCTTTTCTGAGAACTTGAAAGCCATAAATGCATCCCTAGGTTAACAAATGAGCTATATCATTAGTTTACTAACTAAAGCCTTCTGCATAACCCTCAGGATATTGTGCTATCACTATCAAATGCTTCCAATAGGTAAGGAAATATACTCCAGTTGGGAGAGAAAGACTACATATTCATCCTATCGTCAAAGGTATCCTTTGATATACCATATTCAGCTAATATCAACCTATAGCTACAAATGAATGAAACAATTTTACTTGAAGAGTTGCTCAGATGAAGCAAGATCAAAGACAAAAAGAATTAATACCTGGTAATTATGCAATCTTTCCCTTTATTTTAATTTTTTATTCAGAATTATGTCATTTTTGGTGATAAATAAGCCTAAGTACTCACGGGTGCACTGTCATGATCCACAGAAAAATTACACACAATCCAAGTTTCAGGGTCATTTTCAGTCAATGCTGGTATCTTCCGAATGGCAGAGAGGTATAACACATCACGTTGGGAAGCAGGCCACACCCTCTGTAGAAAAAGTCAAAGCTTAGTGAAAATCTAGAATATTTTCTATCTAGATGTCTCTGATAATCATCTCACCAAAAAAACAAACTCACTGCTGACACATTATGCACAGTAGAATATGGACGCTTATGAAATGAAAGCTGAGACTTCCCCCTAAAAAGGGCTAAGCATGAGAATGAATTCATGGTTTTACAAAGCTATAAACTGAGTAGCTGAAGAAGACCAGGAGTAAAGGACAACAAGGAATTTATGAAAGGAAGAGAAGATGGGCTGGTCACACGACTGGAGGACAGTGCCACGGCTACTCCTGTAACAACAGAGGAAGGCTTCAAGCACAATGGCCAACTTCTGGAAAGAGTGCGGACCAGAATTACACAGGCAGGTCAAGCAGCAGCAAGTTAGGATCTGCCTCAGAGGAAGAAGCTCCCTGAGTTAATGAGATGACAGATCCATGATGATGACACTGAGGAGGCCCATTCTACTTCTAGGTAGGTAACGCACACTTCAAAAGAAGAGATGCAGCAGAGTTAGTAGACAAAATGCTAGACCTGGAGTCAGGAACATCTGGATTGGAATCCCATATTTAACGTTTACTAGCCATTTGACCATGGGCAAGTTATTCAGCCTTTTTAAACCTCACTTTACTGCTCTGTAAAATAGGGATAATACTAGTAGCACCTACATTATAGTGATGAGGTTCAAGTGAGATAACATACACTAAAAAATTTACAAACCTTAAAGTGCTATATAAAGGTCAGTTATTATTAGTCTAAAGCCTCAAGTTTACTTCCAGGCAGGAATTAAAACCAGGGACAATAGGTTTTAAGAGGAGAGAGTACCTTTTCACAACAAAGGTTATTTAAAGGAATAGCAAAACAGTGAAATCTAAAAAAAATACCTTTAATATATTATTCTGCCATATACTGACTTCTCTATTGCTGGTACAAAAGGTTTAACACTTGGAACTAACAATTTCATGAAGTGGTTGAGGAATGGACTTTGTAAATAAAGTACAAAGCACCTTACAAATGTTCATTATAACATCTCTCTATGCACCTCTATACTTTTCCTTTTACATTCACAAGTATGTATGTATATGTAAATACTTTAAAATTTTTAGCCTTTTCAAATTTTTTTTTAACCTAAGCATCTATCAAAGAGAACAAAGAAATGCATGTTTATTGTTTATTGTCCATTATTTGTAACTCAGGTCCTTCTGGTAAATTTTCTCGACTTAATTAAACTCTCAAATAAAATTTGTGAACTGTTAACAAAAATTCAGACACACTGGGATATTTAATTTCCTTTCATACTAGTAGGGAGCATTACAGTATATGACTAAGAAGTTAGTATATTGTCTTTTATTGTGCCTTTCAGAATTTGAGTTCTGTTATTAAACTTCCCCTTCATTTTAGACCCCATTCTCATGATTTTTCAATCTTTGGGTATTCATGGAAGATCTGGCTTTCCCCTATATGACACTGTTTCTTTTGTTTGTATCCTTATTGCTACTACTTTCTATCATACCTCCCAACAAAGTACTTCTGGAGGGGGAGTGAGAATACTCCTTGCTCTCCATTGCCCCTGCCAGAGCTCTCCTCTGTTGTAAACTTCCTCCCTCTGAGGCTTGTTCTATGCAGGTTTATGACCCAATCCAGATTCTGGTGGTTGTTACCTACTGCCCCCATTACAAATGTATGTTATCTAATTTCAGCTGAACCCAAAATGCACAAAGGTAATCTTTTCACTCTTCTTTAATTGATGCTTTATCCCACCTGCACAGCAAATGTTTGGAACTTTTTCTTCTCTCTTGAAACCTCCTACATTAGTCTCCCTGTTAAACTTTGAGTTTAGGACTTCGTTTCATGCATTACTGAGAAAATAAGAGGGCAATTCTTATTGCTACCACTTCTTAGAGCCACCACTTCTCACCTCTTTATCTCCTACACCCTGTGTATCAATCCTCACTAGCTCCTCCTTTATTCCAGTTTCTGATGAAGGTTTCTTCTTTTTTCTTTTGGGTGAGGCAATTGGGGTTAAATGACTTGCCCGGGGTCACACAGCTTGTAAGTGTTATGTGTCTGAGGCTGGATTTGAACTCAGATCCTCCTGACTCCAAGGTTGGTGCTCTCTCCACTGTGGCACCTAGTTGCCCCAGGTTTCCCTTCTCCTTAAGCCAATCCTTATGTGTCCTTTGACCCATACCCTCACAGCCTACTGCCCCCACTGTATAATTCCTACCCCTCTAATTTCCATTTCTTTCTGTTTGGGTCTTTGCTTGCTGCTTATAATTATGTCCAAGTCTTCCTCATCCTTAAAAAACCTTCACTAGATCTTGTCATCCCCACGATCACTTTCTCTTTTTTTCTTAGCCAAACTCCCTGAAAAAAGGTGTCTATGCTTGTTGTCTCCACTTTTCCTCTCCTCCAACACTCACTCCTCAAACCCTCTGTCATCTCAGTTCTGACCTCATCTCTCAAAGGAGACTGCTCCCTCCAAAGCTAACTGTCATGCCCAATGCACTTTCCTCAATTTGCATCCATTCAGTCCCTTCCTGTAGCATGACTCTGTTTACTACCCTCTCAACTCCTGGTTTTTTCTCTTTTCTGGGATTCACGGCTCTGCTTTTTTAAAATTTTCTGCCTACACGTCTGACTTACTGCTCCTTCTCAGTCTTCTTCTTTGGATCATCATCTATTATTATACCCCCTAACTGTGTGTGTACCCCAAGGTTCTGATGGAGGCCCTCTTCTCTATCTACACTTTCACTTGGTGATCTCATTAGTTCCTACGGGTTTAATTATCATCTCTATACAGATGACTCCCAGATCTGTTTATCTAGTCCCAGCTTCTCCTCTTATCTCTGATCCTATATAATCAACCACTTACAGGATACTATGAATTGAATATTCTGAAGACATCTCAAGGCTCAACATCTCTAAAAACATAACTCTTCGTTTTTCCCTCCAAATCTACTCCTTCTTTGAGTTTCTGAAATTACCATCATTCTTCGAGTCACCTAGATTTGTAATTTTAGTGTTATCCTTGACTCCTCATTTTTCCTCACAAAATTTATTTAATCAAATATTGTTTTTTAAATTTCCACACTATCTACTACATATATGTCCTTCTCTCAACTCATGTAGCCACCACCATCCTAGTTCAGCCTGCCATCATCTCTTCACTTGGACAATAGCCTCCTATTTGGTCAACCAGCTTCAAATCTCTCCCCAGTTACCTATCCTCTTTCTGGTTGCCAAAGTGATTTTCCTAATGTGAAAGTCTTAGCATGTGACTCTCCTACTCAATTAAATGGAGTGGTTCTCTATTATTCCTCAGACCAAACATAAACTCCTTTGGCATTTAAAGTGCTTCAGTAACTGAGTGCACGCTGCCCTTCCAATCTTAAAACACATTACTCCTCTCAGTGCACTCTACCATCCAGACAAATTGGCTTCTTTTCTGTTGCTTTCACAGAACCAGTCACTTTCTGTTCCTGTGTCTTTCTCTGTATTGGCTGTCCTATATGCCTGAAGGCCATTCATTTCCTCTTCCTGGAATGCCTGGTTTTCTTGAAGATACAAATCAAGTACCATATTCTCTCAGAGGCCTTTCCTGGTCTCCCCAGGTGCTACTGCCTTCCCTCTTCCTACATCTTCCCTCAGATTATTTTGTATCTGTTTTAAACATGACTACATTTATGTACCTGTTGTCTTCCATGTTAGAATATAAGATCCTAGGAAATAGGAACCTTTATTTTTGTCTCTGCTATCTCCAGAGTCTAAAGGTGTTTGGCAGGCACTTAATAAATAAATGCTTTTTGACTATCTGATTACATGAATTTTCTAAAGTAAGAATCTGAATGTAAAAAGTGTACAGATGAAAAAAAAAGGCAATACCTTGTGAGTCTGGTAAACGATGACTGCATTTTCAGACAACTTTTCCACGACATGGAAATTTTCTATAGTTGCTGAAATGAAGGAAATTAGATCAATAAATAACAATTTTTTTGGCTCTTAGGATAGAATAACTATTTTACATATGACTGTGAGTGTATTTGAGTGTGTGGGTACCTGATAGCATTTGAATGAGTTTATTCCCTCCTCAGGCCTTAACAGTATTCTAAAAGCCGGAGGCAATCTGCTGGACTAAAGAATGACTCAGCAGGGAACCTTCCTTTCCCAAGACACTATATATACACTTCAAGAACTCACCTGTCTTCAAGATTTGTTTTGTAGAGGAATCTAAGGACTTGCAACTAATGGCTTTGTGGCTAATTTTGTACAAAGTAAGACAACTAAATGAAGCTCCACAAAGACTAAGAGTGTCACTTTGAATTATCTTAGTATATGAACAGGAGACCCTTCATAAGATTATACAAAACCAATGCAATGAGTTCTTACTTCAGCGGAAAAGAAACGCAATATTTCATACTATCATATTAAAAGTAGGTTTCATGGGCAGCCCACTGAACCCAAAATTAAGGGGTTAATTTATTGGTCAAGTAACACTAAACACCCAACATGTACATATTACTAAATATACCAAATACAAATAGAAAGCATTAATAGCTTCCATACTCAGGCAATAAATTATAGCATTGGGCAGTCTTATTTTCTAGTACGCCAAAATCTCCAGCTACTTCTTATTTATTCAGCACCTACTATATATGTATTCCCTGAGACAAGAGAGACCTGAGTTTAGGCCTTGGCTGACTCATGCTGGCTCTGGTATTCCGAGCATGTTATTTAACCTCTCCATGCCCCAGGAAACCATTTAAAATTACATGGAAGAGCAGCCACCCAGCTGCATCCAGAAAAGGAACTTGCCTGCATCATGAGGTGGTCTCTTTACTGATGAAACCACAGGTCTGATTTTTAAAAAGTGTGCAAGGGTCTATGGTAGGTACAAAAAAATAGGCAAAACTCTACCAAGAACAACAAAAACAATGTCCCTGTCCTCAAATGGCTTATAATCTTACAAGAGACTAAGACACACAAAAAAGTATGATAAAAGGGAAATGAAGGGTTTTCTATATGGAAGGATCAGGAAAGGGTTCATGTAAAGAGCTGGCTTCTAAGCTTAGAGTTTATGAAAGAGAATGATTTCCATAGACCAGAATGTAGCCCATGTGAATGAAGGCAAGAGAGGAAAGAACAAAGTCAGGGAATCGCTAATAGTCCAGTGTAGCTGAAATGTAGAATGTGTGAAAGGGAAAAGAGAGAAACAAACTAGAAAGGTAGGGTGAAGCCTGAATTTATAGGGCCTTCAATGCTTGGTTATTCTACAAGAAATGAGAAGCCACTAAAAGTTTTTGAGGAGTGACATGGTTAAGGGTCTAAGAATATATATTATTTTTACAACACTGTGAAGGATGCAAAACAGAAGGGAGATATTAAAGAGAGACCATTTGGGACTATTTCAGGAATTTAGGAACCAAGGAATGAGAGTTTAAATAAGACTAGTGGCAGTTTGAATGGAAAAGAGGCCACAGACATCAGATTACAGAGGCAAAAGTGAGAGGACTTGGTAACTTAATGGATATGCAAGGCTAAAGAAAAGGGAAAAAAACAGTTTTTGAGCCTGAGTGATTAGTGCTAACAACAGGAACAGTGAAGTAGGGCTTATTTTAGGGACAGAGAAAACGTAGTTTTGGTCATAGTGAGTTTCATGTGCTGGCAGGACATTCAGGTAGAGATGCCCTACAGGTTGCCAGAAATGCAAAATGTGAGGTCAAAGAGATCTTGACTAAATATATAAAATTTGGAAGTCATCTAGAAAAAGATGATAACCAAAACCATGGGTGCAGGTGAGAAAATTGTAGAAAATAAGAGGACCAAGGACAGAGTATTGAGGGGTATCTACTTTTACCAGGACATTAAGATGAGATGAACCAGTAAAATAGAATGAGGACTAGTCTTCTGACTACTCTTGACCGTTTAAGAGAGCAAAAAGAAAAAGTATCACGAAAGTCAAAGAAAGAAGGCACTTCAAAAAAAAGGGATAGCCAAAGGAAAGGACGGGGAGAAGGAGGAGGAAGAAGAAGATGATGATATTTGGTAATCAGGAGGTCACCTTGTATTCTTTACATCTGAGACATAATAGGTGCTTAACAAATGCTTGCTAATTGACTTTGGAGAATACAGTGATAGTGAAGTGGTAACAGAAGAAGGCAGAGAGCAGGACTCTGAGGAGTAAATGGATAGTGAGGAAGCAGAGGCAGTGAGTATTAATCTCTTTAGGAGTTCATCACTGAATGGCACAAGACACACAAAATGTATGGCATCATGGAAAGAATCCTGTATTTCGAGTCAAAGAATCAAATCACTTAACATCTCTGGACTATAATTTCTTCATCTGCAAAATGAGATTGGAGCAGATGATCAAAAAATACTGCCCTGCTCTGAATCTACAATCCTGAGACAAGGGGTAATAGGGTCAAGATTAGTAATAAGCTTGTGTTTTTGTTTTTTTTTAAAGGACAGGGGGAGACACAGATGCTGATATTCAGAAGGTAAAGAGCCCCTCGAGAGGGACACACTGAAGATCAGTGGAGGGAATGATTGATGGAGCATGATCCTGGAGGAGCTGGAAGTGTGGAGGGATGAGATCAGAGGCAGAGAGGGAGTTAAGTCTTGGCAAACCTGGGGGCCACCTCAACATCTAACAATGGTACGGAGCCAAAGAGGATGGATAAAGACAAGCTCTAAAGTGTGGAAGAAGAGAAAAAAAGACTGAAAACTCACAACAGACTGCTTCAATCTTCTCGGCAAAGCCAGATCACCTGCTGAAAAAGGACTAGAATCGAGAGCTGTGGAACAGATGGAGAGCCTCACAGGGGTTCAAAAGCACATGAAGAGATGGTGGAAAAGGAACACTGGCCACTGTAACTCAAAACAGTTTCCTGACATTGCACTGATGTAATCCCTTTTCTCTGCCATTGCTCAAGCCTCCACAGGTTGTATTCCTCCCATTTTAGGAACCCAGTGACTAAGTTCCATTTAACCATATCATCAACTGACTTCACATGGTCTATTTACTTCACTGATACAGCAAGAAAAAAATGTACAAACATTTTTTGGAAGTCATCCAGAAAGAGATGATAACATTAATACTTTCTGGTGGAATTGAACAATCACAAACATATAAGGTTAAGATAGGTAAGCTTCTGAAGAAGCCAAATAAATAATTTTGATAGAAATATATAGCCTGCACTAAATTCTTGCTGCAACATTTTTATTTATGAATTTAAGCAAATAGGCACAATAAAGCTTACAAAGACATCAAGATTCACTAAGGTATGGTATTAGGTAGATAAGCACGTTCTAGTGGAAAGAAAGGCTGAAAGATCAAGAAACCTGGGTTCTACTTTCAGCTCTACCATTTACTAGCTATGTGATCTTATTCAATGCAATTCTCTAAGCCTATTTTCTTATCTGTAAAAATGAGGATTCTTCCACCTGTCTTGACTAGCTCATGTCACTGAAGATCAAATGTCAATTTACATGAAAGGATTCTGAAATCTCTAAGTGTTCTACAAATGAAGGCATTTAATTGATCATCCGTAGAATTTTCCAGACATTAATTACTTTGTCTTTCCAAGTTTATTTCAGAGAAAAATTCAAGATTAAGAAAGAACTTTTTAAAAGTGAGACAAAAGTAAATTAATAGTGATATCTTACTTTCCCAGTCATTGCGAACATCAACATTCCAGAAGTAACTGCAGACCTCATGTCCTGTCACTCCTTTAACTGCATGAGTAGCTTTCAGAGGATCCAGAACGATTCCATTTTCCTCTACCTCTCTTCTGTAAACCTAAAGGGAATATACATAAAAATTACTGAGAAAGAAAATCAAGTCCCAAAGACAAGATGCCTTCAAATATAGTCTCCTTTTAAGACCTACTTTCAAATCTATTTTCAACATTAAATTCTCCTAAAATAAATTTGGGGTAAAGACAGGAATCAGATCAAATTCCAATCTATCCTTCAATGATTTAATGAGAAGTTTTTAAAATCACATTTTATATTAACTTTTGTCATGAGAAGTATTAGTAAGCGATCTTTGGACATTTAAATTACGCAGCCCTAACTTAAAATTCTAAGATTTGCTCTGTGAAGTTATCACAACTGAGAAGATATCTGCTGAATGAAGAACTGGGAAAGTTAAGATAGTTCATTAATTCCAATGCAAGTTGGTTAGTCATAAATGAATGTTGCGTATTAGTATAATTCAATAAACATTTACTAAGCACCTATTACGCTAGCTGCCAGGGACACAAAGATAAATTACAGTTTCTACCCTTAAAGTGCTTACATTCTATAAGAAGTAAGTGAAAGTTTGCTTACAAAGCTTGTTGACTGACTGAAAAATATAAAATGAAATTTATGTGATTTCCTAAAGGAAGGCTTCATACAGCTGGTGCTTGAGCTGAGCCTTGAAGGAAGAGGATACTGAAAGGCAAGGGCAAGGAAGGAGGAAACACCAGGCACATTGGGCAGTGTGTATGGAAGTGGAAATGGGAGAAGGTATGCCATTGTGACTGATACAAAGAGTATATGACAAAGAGTAAAGTGAAATAATGCTTTCAACGTAGAGTCTGATCTTGGTGGGCCTTAGTGTCAGGCTGAGGAGTTGGTATTTTATCCAAGTGGCAACAGGGGCCAGTGAAGTTCTTTAGACAGGAGAATAATATGTGAGCAGCCTCTGTGTCTTACACAGATTTCTTTCCCCTTTAAAAATGTTTGCCTTATATGTACCAAAAAAAAAAAAAAAAAATCACCATCACTTTCTCATACCAACCCTCTTTCCCAACAGAACCCTCTCGTGAAAAAGAGCAGCGAAGCAAACAAACTGACACAGTGACCGCAAATGATAGCATATGCCTCAAGGAAGATGATTTTGGCAACTGTAAGGAGACACTGGAGGCTGAGAGGGAAAGAGACTCTCATGTTTATCACCAACTCCTTCCAGATATGTCCACCCTTTGCTTCCCCAAAACTATAATTTCTCAGTTTTTCTACTTCTCCAGCAATGCCTCTTTCCTTTGCTAGCTTCTCATCCTCTCTGACTAAGTAAAGGGAATAGTCCTCACTATTCTGATCTTGTGACTTTTCTCTAGCTTTGATATTGCTTCTGAGTTCTAGAATGGAATGTACAACTATCTACTGGCAACTCAAACAACATATACTAGTTCAAGCTTATTTTCTTTTTCTCCAAACTTACTAGTTCAGTAGGCAGCATACCTGACTGGCTCATACTATTCACCAATCCCCCAAGTTCAAACTTTTGACTTTTCTTTTCATCACTTCTCTTACCTCAATAATCTGTCCACCCTGAAAAATCCCTTGTATTTATCTCCTCCTTCTCTATTCCGACTCTACCCAGTCTAAGTTTTCCCACCTCCAGACTTTCCTTGCCCATCAAGGCATACCACAGCCAGGTGAATTATCCTAATGGTCATGCCACTCCTCTGTTTAAAACTCTTCAGTAGTCTGCCCACCAAAGAGTTCCAACGTCTTAGCTTGGAATCCAAAGTTTTTCATCATCTGGCATCATCCAGTCTTTCTACAATCTCCTTATGCAATTCCCTTCAACATATTCTACCCCTCAAGTAAAAAAGAACTTCCTGCCATCCTCTGTGCCAATCTTATGCTTTCCTATCTCTTTTTATTCATTGGGCTCATGTTCTTCCTCCCTATCCCTACAGGCCCTTTTCCTCTACCACCTCACTGGCTGAAATTCTGTCAGCCTTTCAAAAAACCCAGGTTAAATGCTACCTCTTCCATGAAACCTTTCATAATTCCTCCATTCAATAATGCTTCCTGTACAGAGACTTTACATCGAATTTTGCCTCTCCTTTCTATATGGCTTGTTTGTGTTATAGTAATTCGTATACATAGCATCCCTCTTAAGTTATAATTATAGTTATTTGCATATACAACTTCTCTGTTACTGGGCTATAATTATAGTTCACACACACACACACACCCACCCACCCACCCAACTCTTTTAATAGGCTATAAGCTCCTTAAGGGCAGAGTTTTCCTTTTCTAAGTTTTGTACCTTTGTATCTAAGCTACGTACACAGTAGAAACTTAACAAATGCTGGTAACACCTTTCACATGCTCTGGAAGAATAAAGGATAAATAAAGCATAATTTTATGTAATTATCATTCTGCAAAAATAAGTTTCAAACATTTCCAGAATAAAGTGAAGAAAACTTGAACTTTGTTATCATTTGACCTCAATTCCTGTCAATTAACTTAGATCCCCAAAGATATTATTTTATTGGTAATCTATTTTATGGAATTTTTCCTTACTTGGATGTGCTCAGATCTTAAGTCTGCTTTAAATGAAAAAACAAAAAACAAAAAACATGCCCTCTGTGATTTCATTGTTATAGGACAGTGATGTTAAACTCAAATAGAAAAGGGGGCCAAAAAGTATACTTAAGGATCCCTGATGGCTGCATACTCACTTAGAAAACCACATATTAACATTATCTATGTTCTATCATAGTTTTATTTATTTTGTTAAATATTTCCCAATTACATTTTAATCCTATTCTGTACTCCATCCAGGATATGTTTGACAACTTTGGTGTAGGGAAACTATAGGAAGAAAGCACCTTCTTTCAATGCAGATCTGCATCTATCACGCAGTTTATAGGTTGCATGGAGAAGTTAAATTACTTTCCCTTAGTGACAGAACTAATATGTGTTAACTGGAGGGACCTGGTCTTTCTGATTGTGAGGTTAGTTCCCTATTGATCATTCCTGGTTTAGATTACAGAGGGAGAAGAGATCCATCATATGTTAGAGAAAGGGAACTGACCATGATGGTAAGCATATAAGCATTATTACTCTAAATACCAAAACAGCCAAGTTTTTTGGTTTTTTTTTTTTGGTCTCTCCTTTTTCTAACAAAAGCAATACACTGCAACTATTTTTATTAGAGTTTTAGAAAGCAAGATGCCAAATTGCAACTATGATTTGGTTATCTTGTGGTAGGCTTCTTATGACAAAGAAAATACCTATTCTTTTGCGGAATGAAGTTTGCCTTTTTTGACCTCAAGATGAAGAGAGAGGTCCAAAAAAGATCTGACTAATCTTATTGCAAATAAGACTAAAAATCAACCAGCCTGAATGGAAACAAATTCTATATTCTGGGTTCAGGAAGGCCAGATCATTTGTCTGAATCTCAAATATTTCACAATGGTGATACTGTATTCTTTGTCTTCCTTGAATTAAACAATAAAACTACTCTTCACTGCTGCTCAGCAATCCTTTTATTCATCTCTTACTAATTCTCTGATGCATCTGCCAGAGCAGTTGTTCCAAACCTTGCCTCAAGCCTCAAATATCCATATCCCCTACTTTACTCTCAGCAAATTACTGAGGGGGGAAAATTTGACATAAACTCCCTGACTGAATTTCTAACTTAAAATCTTCATAATTATTACTAACACTTACAGATAAGTAATTTTGGGCTGGCCACTTACTTTCTCAATTATCTCATTTATAAAATCAGAGTTATAATACACATACTACCTATGTCACAAAGTGGTTTTATGGAAAGTATTTTGTAGGCTTTAAAGCATTATATAAATATGAATTTATATAATGCTTTAAATGCTACTTCATCTTCTCTACTTCAAAATACCTCTAACTTTCTTCCTCTTCTGAGACCTCTCTTCTGTCTCAGAGGAAAACATTTAACCTATTCAAGGTTAATCTCTCTACATGTGTTCTTCATTCAGTTAACGAGTAATTGAGTAGAGTGCCTGGTATATACATGAGATTATACAGGGTCAGCTTCACTTTCTGTCTTTACTGATTGTTAACTCCATTTTATTACAAAGATGATTTTTTCTATTTTGTAAAAAAAAAAAACAAAACAAAACAAAACACCTTTCCACCTACCGGGCTGAATATTTTTCTTCCCTCCACCATTTTAGTTAAGTAGCCCATACTTACTGCCTCTATTTGTTCACTTTATTTAACTCTAACCTAATCCAATAAGTATCTATTAAATGTCAATGACTAAGGACATAAAAATGGAAAATGTTTCTTGCCCTCTATGATCTTATATTTGAGGCAGCTTGGTGGCACAATGCATAGAATGGAGTCAGAAATATCTGAGCTGAAATCCAGTCTCAAATATTTACTAGCTGTGTGACCCTGGGTAAGTAAGTTTACCTCTATTTGCCTTAGTTTCCTCCTTTGCAAAACAGGGGTGAAAATAGTACCAACCTCCCAGGGTTGTTGCGAGGATCAAATGAGATAATAATTGTAAAGCACTTAACACAGTACCTACCACACAGCAGGTGCTTAATAAATGCTTCTTCCCTTCCCCTTCCCCACTGTAGAATACAATATATGATCAATTAAGTATATACATGATGATATAAGAGGGAAAGAGCACTAACACAAATGGAGAATCAGGAAAGGTTGCCTGGCACATCAGCTCAGCCTTGAAGGAAAACAAGTATGGTAATAGATTGAAGGAGGGACTGCACTCTAGGTATGGGAGGGAGGGGAGGCCCATTTACACCAAGGTCCTAATGCAGGACACACTGAAGCCAGGGGGATGACAAGAACAGATTTGTGTTTTAGGAGAAGTCTTTTGGAGATTGTAGGCTGGAGAGATGGGATATAAGAATGGAAGCCAACAGCAGTTAGGAGATGCTGCAATAGTTTAGGCCGGAGGCAGGATGGAGCGAACTAAGATGTGACTTTGTGAGTACAGGGAAGGGAGTAGACTGGAGAGGTGTTGCAGAGTATACCTGATAGGATTTGACAATGAACTCAGTATGGAGCATAAGGGAGAGGCAAGAGTTGAGGATGACTCCAAAGTTGCAAAGTTGGGTGAGTAGAAGAATGGGAGTGTCGAGGCAGAAATAAACCTATTAGGAAGGAGCATGATTTGGCGGACTGGAAGACAGTGAACTCTGACTTGGACCTGCTGTGGACCTGCTGAGTTTGAATGATAGGGAACACTCAAGCAAAAGTGGTAGAAGCAGGTATTACAGTGGAAATGGAACTGAATTTGGAGTCAGAGAAATGGGGCTCAAACCCTGACTACTACTGACTACACTGGCTGTAGGAGAGGCATTTAAGCCTTTCTGGCTTCTCATCTGTTCTCATCTGTAAAAGTCTCCAACGTTCCATCCAGCCCTCAGTCTCTGATCTACTTCTAATAGGTGATTGGTGAGGAAGGACTAGAACTGAGGAGACAGAGTAGTCTTGGGATACAGAAATCTACGAGGCATCTGCATAAAGATAAATGAACAAATGGGAAATGATGAGATCACTAACAGAGAAGGTAGAAAGAGACAGAAGAAAACAGACCAGGGTAGAGCCAGCAGGCACTGAAGGTTAGGGAAAGGAATGTGGATTAAGAGATCACTGGTAGCCTTGAAGAAAGCAATTTCAGTTGAGTGCTAAGGTCATCAAGCAGATTGGGTTGAATGGGTTGAGAAATGATAGTAGGAGAGTAAGGGGACCCAAAGAATACACGTAGCTTTTTCTAGGACTTTGGCTGTGAGATATAGGACAATAGCTTTCCTATCCAACAAAGGTTTAAGGACAAGGGTAAACCCTGTCATGTTTGCAGGGAGCATGAAAGAATTCAGCAGAGAGATCGGAGATCAGAGGAAGAGAAGAAATGACTGAAGGGACAAGCTGCTATAAGAGATAGGAGAAAACAGAATCAAGTACACAAGTATAATAGGATCAAGTAGAAGAATTGACCTTTGCAAGGAAAATTTACCTATAATCCTATCAGTATCTCTAAACTGTTCTAAGATCCATAATGGCTTTCTAATTGTCAAACTCAATAATTTTCTTAGTTACAATTTAGTTGCAGAGAGAGATGTGTAGCGGCTAACTATGCAGAGAATGATGGGGCAATACACAACAGAATCACTTGAAAAAAACAACAACAAGAAAAAGAATGTTGTATGTGTAAATTATGAGATTCAATCAGAGGACACTGCTGTCTGCTATCTGGTTTCTTTAAAACCCAAATTTATATTTTTTCCAAATCCTCATAACGTTGGCTTATGGAGATGGGCAGTCTATTTGAGTAGGATATATAAATAACATTACCAAAATCAAAGACTCTAAAAAACCTGCAGTTCCCCATAGATATGTGACAGCAGGGCTGGGACAAAGAATTTTGCACTTTCTAAGCAATGTCTAAACATTATGCCCTAATGTCTATTCTTGTCCTCTATTTTAGTAAAATAATAAACAAGTTATTAATTCTTACATTGATTTATAAATTATGTAATAGGTGTTACCTTCATCTCTCCTTCTTCTACCACCAATTGCCAATTGGCATCTCCACCTACATCCTGTAATGAGTAAGTCATATGGTTCTTCACCATCTCTTCAACCTTTAAATGAAGAAAGAAGTAACATGAAAATCCAAATTCCACTTATAGTTAACTTATAGCCTCACTTAACTTACTAAATTCCAGAAATGGTGCTCTTTCGAAGCTGAGCTCCCGGGTATTACAATTAGTACTTGTATACAATGCTGAAGAGTTAGCCCACATTCCAGATTTTTCAGGTTAATTAAAGAATTGGGGGTCAAGAAGGAGAATGAAAGGAGGAAAAATATTCCAGTCAGGAAAAAATCTTGTATCGCTCAATGTGTACTATGAACGCTTAAACAATACTTTCTTGGAAAAATGAAATCCACATTTTATCTATTCTTCCCTAATAAATGCTTCTGTTCTGACACATTCATAAGGAAAATGAAAATGGAATATAAAGGGTAGAATCCTGAGCTTCCTTCAGGGCTCAGGTGAAGGGCTATTTCTTCTGTAAAGCCCTCCCTGATCTCCACAATTGTGAGTGTTCTCTCCTTCCTCTGATTACCTTGTATCTAGTCCGATGGCCCTATTTTAGGGCAGAACTACAGACAAGATAGCCTAGAGAGAGGATTATATTAGTTAAAGATTTCCAAAGGAGATAACAAAATATTCCTTATTTCTCTAACAATACTCCTAGTTCATTCTTTGTTACACATTATAAAAATTTCTCTTCATGAAATTTAATGCCTTTATGTTTTGATCAAGAGTTAGTTACTCTTACTCGTTTAAAGCCAAAAACCAGTTAAGCCGTTTCATAATCTGCACAAAATGTACATGCCCCATTTCTGCCAGACTGCAGTGGTCAGACAGCATGCAGTATTCACTGACACTGTTTCAGATTTGTGCCAAAGGTGATCCTAGACATATTTGCAATCAGAAAGACAATTTTTCACTCTTGGAAGGTACATCTCACTTCATCTTTTCTGAGAAGAAATCCACTGTGAACTCTTTCCTTTGTATTCAACTGTAAAGTCCTTCATGTCAATCCTCTATTACCTTTCCTTTACTCTTTTTCCTTTACTTTTGATAATGGGGTGGTTCTTATCCTTGCCAAGGCTAATCCTTCTAACATGAGTCCTTAATCAACACACCTCCATCTTCTCTAGTTGATTTCCTGTCCCCCCAGTCATATCTACTTTCTCATCCTGTCTGTCCCATCTATTGGTTCCTCTCTGGCTACCTACAAACACGCCTCATCCTTAAAAATCCTTCAAAATATCCTCTCAAGCTAGGGTCCTCTCTCCTCCCTTTCACAGCCAAATTACTTTTTAAAAAAACCTCTGCATAGTCATCACCTCCACTTCCTCTCTTCTTTCTTCCCAATCCTTGACAGTATAGCTTCTGGCCTCAAAAACAACTGAAATTGCTCTCTCTAAAGTTACTAATGATCTCCTAATCGCCAAATAGGATGGCATTGTCTCAATCCTTATTCTTCTTGATCCCTCTGTAGCACCTGACACTGATGACTATCCTCTCCAGGTCAAAATTTTCTGTTCTGGGCTACACTCTTTTGGGCCTCCTTCTGTCTGATCCCTCCTTGGCCACCTTTTCTGTACCATCATGCATACTGTGCCTGCAAGCTCTAGGCACTCTTTTCTCTTTACTTCTTTATTTGGTGACATCATCTCCTCTATACAGATGATTCCTAAAACCATATATCCAGCCCCAGTTTCTCTCTTGAGCTTCAGGCCCTCTTCATCAACTGCCTATTGGACATTTAAAACTGGATATCTAATAGGCACCTCAAGTTCAACATATCTAAAACAGAACTTGTGGGCTTCCCCCCACCCCAAACCATCCTTCTTCTGAATTTCTTTTTTTGAGGGCACTCCTATACTTCCATTCCCTCAAGTTTGCAACTTTGGTGTTATTATTAACTCCTCACTCTTATTTACTCCACACATCTAATTAGTTGCTAATTTTGATGGATTCCACCTCCACAGCATCTCTTTCATTTTATTCATTCTTAGTACCTCCACCTGGACAGGGAGATCCTTGTCATTCCTTGTTTAGATTATTGCAAAAGTCTCCTAATTTATCTCCCCCCCTCAAGTCTTTCCTACTCCAATCCATCTCCCACATGGTTGCCAAAGTGATTTTCCTCAAGCACATATCTGACCTTACCATTCCCCTACTTGATATGCTCTAGTGACTTTCTCTTGCCTATAGGACCAAATACAAACATTTAAAGCCTTTCACAACCTGACATCCCCACAGCTACTTTTCTAGCTTCATAATTATTCTTCTTGCACTCTATGGTCTAGCCACCTTAGCCTTACTGCTATTTCTCAGATAAGATACTCCATTTGTCTCTGTACTTTTACACTGACCATCCTTCATACCTGGCATAGACTCCTTCCTTATCACTCCTTCTTAGAAATCTTATTGCCTTCAAGATTTAGCTGAAGCATCGCTGTTACACAAAGCATCTTCACACACACACACACACACACACACACACACACACACACACACACACACAGCTAGATGACCAAAATTTTCTTATATTTATTTTGCATACATTCTGAATATATTTATGTATGTACATACTATTTCCACTGAGAGAACACAAGCTCCCTGAAGGCTGGGGACAGTTTCATTTTTTTATGTGCATCTCAAGTACCTAACACAAGTGTCAGGCATACAACAGGTGCTTAATATTTGCTGACTGACTTTTTGCTTTGATAAAGGCTATTAACAATCAAAGTACAGATTTGAGCTCCATAGTCAAATGAGCCAAATCTGTTTACCGTAATCAATCTATGTAAACTGACTAGTTTCTATCTTACTGATCAGAAAAACAGACTTAATTTTCTGTGCATTAGTAAACTTGTATGTGCCCATTTTATACTTACAGTAACTATTCGAAATGCCACCTTCAGACTCAGGCAAGTTGAAGTTGCGACCTTGAGAGAATGAAAGTGTACTAGCACCCTCAGAAAAAAGAGAAATTCAGAAGAAGGATGGTTTGGGGGTGGGGGGGAAGCCCATAAGTTGTTTTAGATATGCTGAACATGAGGTGCCTACTAGATAGCCAATTTTAAAAAGAGTGCCCAGAATGAAGTACAAGCCTCATGAAAATTAAACTTACTTGTGAAATGCAAAATGCGGTCTTTTACCAAAGGTTCTAATTAAGGCAAATGCTATTAAAACTAGTAAGCTCACAAACCTATGCCAAATATATGATTTTCCTAATTCTTTAGTGCAATGGACATTAAAGTTAAGTTTTTAGTTCTGACTGGCTTTTCTATTTGTACCCCCAGTGCTTAGTACAGCATTTAGCAAACAGTACGAGCTCAATAAAAAAGGGTACTACAATCCCTGCAACCCTGCATCCTCATCTTTACTGTTATTTTCTATCCTGCTGCACCTGACTCTCTCCAAACTTGGACCTACCCCTCCTTGTGCCTCTAGAAGAATTTTCATGACTTGAAAATTATGTTACTTCCCTTATTACTGAAATCTGACATTTTAAACAATGCACAACCATAAAACTTAGAACATAGTTAAGATCACATACTTCAGAGAACTTTAAAATATTTGATAATAGTAAATTACATAATTTTATAAGACCTGCCTGAATCTGAATGGCTTTCACATAGTTACTGTAAGTATAAACCATTTTATACAAGTTTACTAATGCATATAAAATTAAGTCTGTTTTTCTGATCAGTAAGATAGAAACTATAGTCAGTTCAAATAGATTATGGTAAACAGATTTGGCTCACTTGACCATATAATCACACAAACTGAAGAAACATTTCTTGTTTTGGGTGCTATGTATGCAAAATGTATTTGCCAGATAAACACTTTTGATTCTAAAAATACACATGTACACACATACACACTCTGAAGACAAGGAAAGAAACTTTACCCAGAAATACATCAAATACCCAAGGGTTATCTTGTAAAGTATTCAGTTAAGAAAGTATTTTATTCTGCTTTGTCTCTCCACTCATCAATCTCCTTTCCACTTCCCAAAGTGCAGATTTGACTAGGTTACTATCCTGCTAAAAATTTTGCAGTAGTTCCTGTCTGCCTCTAACATAAAATACAAACTCTGACATTTAAAGCCCTCCGTTCTGGCTCCAGACTCATTTCATAATATTCCTCTTCATAGAGGTTCCAGTTAGACTGGACCTACTAATTATTCTTTGAACTATACATTCCATCTCCTACCTCCATATCTTGGTGTAAAGCTCCCTCAAACCAGGAAAACCATCCTGCATCCCAACCTCTCAGAGACCTTATGCTTGGCTCAAGCACAATTTTTTTCTCTGATGCCCTCCTCCAATCCCCTCAGTTGTCAGTGCTTTTTTTCTGCTTCAAATTAATTTGTACCTACTTAGACCACAGACACTTTATTTCCTCTTCCAGATGAAGGTCAGTTAAGGGCAGGTTTTGCCTTTCTATTAGAGTACCTAGCACAGTGCCCTTTACAAAAGAAGTACTTAATAAACACTGAATTGAATTCTTTTTTTTTTGTTTGTTTGTTTTTTGCTAGGCAATGGAGTTAAGTGACTTGCCCAGGATCCCACAGCTAGAAAGTGTCAAGTGTCTGAGGTCAGATTTGAACTCAGGTCCTCCTGACTCCAGGGGCGGTGCTCCATCCACTACACTATCTAGCTGCTCCATGAATTGAATTCTGGTAAGCAAAAGAAGTTCTGCTCAAATAATTTTCAGTGAATTTAAAATTTTGTGTGTGTATTTAAAGAGACAGGTACTTTACTTACATCTTTTAGTATTTAAGTTTGAGAAAAGAAACCTTTTGTCTAAAAAAGGGGAATTGATTACATGCCAATGTCCCTTTTATGAGCTACCCAAGAAATTCCATAAACCTTTCATTTTGTTAGGAAAACTGGAAATAACATTTAAAATATAGCATACTAAAACAATACGTATGTCCTACAGATGAAAATAGTTGTCTTTATCTGAAACTACTAGGAATCAACAGTTCCAAGAGGATATTCTGAATTGCTATAGAGCAGTAGTGTCAAACTCAAATAGAAAAAGGCTCC